TCCTGCTCTTCCTGGCCGGAAGTTTTCCCTGAGATTTAATCTGTCTGCTGTGCTGTAGTTCGAACCCACGACCTCTCGTCCTGCCCTCTGGGGCAAGCGAGAACCACCTGTCTCCATCTTTTCTATGGTAGCCTTTGGAGTAGTCGAAGAGCGCTCGCGTGTCCCCCCTTAATCTCTTTTCCAAACTGAGCGTTCCCGCTTCCTGCAGCCTTTGCTCATGTAGCTGGCGTCCCACCCCTTTGATCGGCTTTGTCGCTCGCCTCTGGGTCCTACCCAGTGTCTCCACATCCTTTCTGTGCATTGGTGACCGAAACTGGACACCCTCCTCCAGCTGAGGCCTCGCCTGGGCCGAGCAGAGCCGTACTGTCACCTCCTGGGACCTGCAGCCACGCCTCTGTTCATGCATCCGAAAATTGTACGTGCTTTTTTTGCAACAGCATCGCATTGCTGACTCATGTCGAGGTTGTGATCCACCACAACTCCCAGCTCCTTCCCAGCAGCGCTTCTGCCCAACTAGTTCTCCCCCGTTCTGTACTGGTGCACTTGGTTTTTCTTCCCAAAGTGTAGCCCATCTTCACTGAATTTCATTTTGATGGCTACAGCCGAGTTCTCCAGTTTATCAAGATCCCTCTGAATTGTAGCTCTGTCCTCCAAAGTGTTGGCAACCCCCCCTCGCTTTGTGGCATCTGTAAATTGGATCAGTCTGCTCTGTATACCTATCTCCAGGTAGTTAATAAAGATGTAGAACACCACCGGATCCAGAACAGATCCCTGTGGATCCTCACTTGAGACCTCCTTCCAATCCGACATCAGTCCATGTTACACTTTGTTTGTGGTTATTTAACCAATTCTGTATCCGTCGAATGGTAGTTCTGCCAGGCCCGCATTTCTCCAGCTTACTTATCAGACTGTCAAAAGCAGAGCTGTCAATTAATTGCGGTTGATGGCAAGTGATTAACGCAAAACAAATTAACTAGATTAAAAAAACAGTCGCGATTAATCACACTGTTAATACCAGAACACCAATTTCCATTGATGATCAATATTTGGTGATTTTTTCCAGATTTTCAAATATATTGATTTCAATTACAATGCAGAATACAAAGTTTACAAGGTTTGCTTTGCATCAGTAGTTTTGATTACATGTAGTTGCACTGTAAAAAAGATAAACAAGAGAAATACTATTTTTCAGTTCACCTCAGCCCAGTGCTGTAGGGCAATCTCTTTATCCTGCAGGTGCACCTTACAAATGTTAAAAAAAAATAAAATAAAAACAAATTGTTACATAACTACACTCAAAACCAAAGCAATCTAAAACTTTAGCGCTTGCAAGTCCACTCAGTCCTACTTCTCGTTCAGCCAATCACTTAGATGAACTAGTGTGTTTACACTTCCAGGTGATCATGCTGCCCGCTTCTTATTTACATTGGCACCTGAAAGTGAGAGAACAGGTGTTCGCCTGGCATGGTTGCAGCTGGGGTCGCAAGGTATTTCTGGGCCAGACATACAAATCACGTGTGCCCCTTCGTACTTCGACCTGAAGTGAAATTGGGATTTTTAATAGTGAAATTAAACCCGCGATGGAGCGCCACTCTTTTTTTTTGTTTGTTTTTTTAAATCTCGCGATTCATTGCAATTTTTTTTTCCCCATCGGTTGACAGCCCTGGTCCAAAGCCTGGCTGAATCATAGAATATCAGGGGTGGAAGGGACCTCAGGAGGTATCTAGTCCAACCCCCTGCTCAAGGCAGGACCAATCCCCAACTAAATCATCCCAGCCAGGGCTTTGTCAAGCCTGATCTTAAAAACCTCCAAGGAAGGAGATTCCACCACCTCCCTAGGGACCCATTCCAGTGCTTCACCACCCTGCTAGTGAAACAGTTTTTCCTAATATCCAAGTTCAGGTATAAAAATGTTTCTTCGAGCTAATGTTTAAAACGATCTTCCCAGGTTACGGAAAGCGTTTCTGTACATCTGGGTATAATGCTTCAAGCATCCCAAAGTACAAAGTGGGGTTTGCAAGTCATAAAATACATGTAGTCCATCATCTGCACTATCCCAATGGCTGGTTAATCAATTGAACGGTGCAGTGAAAATATTAGCACCCAACTATTGGGGTACGTCATTCATCCCAAGTTCTACTGAGGTGTAGATGGTCCCTCAGTAACGGAGACTTTGGGATAGGCGGCCCCTCGGGAAATCAGTTGCTTTCCTGACTTCGCTTCTCCGTCTCTCGATGTGGGATGATCTGTCCCCGCGTTTCCCCCCCCCTCCACCAAACCGGTTACCCCCACCCGTCAAAGGAGGAACTCAAGCTGGTGGGGCAGGCTTTGGCCAGGGCCCGTCTGCTGGCCATCAGCCCGGCTCTTCCAGGGACCGGGCAGCTCTGGTAGCAGCCCAGGGCCTGGTCTGCAGCTTCCCCCCCCCCGGGTCCTGCTCCAGTCAGGTGTTTGCTAATATTGTGTGCCAGGGGCTGGGAGATTTCTTCAGCGCCCTGGGGGCTGGTGCCCGGGGTGCAGAGGGGGGCTGGCTGCAGGGGAGATGGCGGGCGGGGGGCTGGGCGCATGGGGGGGGCTGGTGCCTGGGTGCAGGGAGGGGGGCTGGTTGCATGGGGCGGGCTGGTGCCTGGGTGCAGGGGTGGGCTGGTGCCTGGGTACGGGGGGAGGGGGGCTGGTTGCATGGGAGGAGGGGGGGCTGGTTGCAGGGGGAGGGGGCCGCTGCACTATTGGTTGATAATTCCCCCCCGACACACACCCAGGCGCATGCGGCGGCGGGGCGGGGCGGGGCGGGCTCCGTGGCCGCATCCGCCCCCCAGCCGCTGCCGGCCCCGGGACTGAGGCCGGGACCCGCCCCAGGTACCGACCCCCACCGCGGGTTTGCA